GCATTCACGCATCAACATACCGCCCTGTTATACCCACCATCCCTCTCAACTATTTATTTCTTGTTTGCCCTTCCATTCTCTTCGATTTAATGAAATTCTTCTCGATGGTGACTCATTATTTCGATGAATCATTTCTTCGGACAGAAGAGTTTTGAATTTCGGGATTTATTTAAAATATTCAATAACTTGCGAGTATCTACAGGACCTAAATTATCAATAGGCTCTCCAAGCACGTTGAAAATTCGGCCGAGAGTCGCTCCGACAGTTCAACGATAGCTCTTTAGTCTTTTAGTTTTAATTTTGAAAAACTAACCGAAGTGGAATTTAGATGTTTTTATAAGATATATGAAAAACGTGATAAAAAAAATAATATTAAGAAACAAGCACCATTTTTTTAAATAAAAAGATTAACGAAACATTTCTAGTCAAATAATCTGTCAAACTATACGATCCACTCTACATAAATTTATAAAGAATTTAGGTCCATTATGTTTTTCGATTAGAGGATGACAAATAAAGCTGTAAATTAAAATTTTAAGATTATATAGATTAAATAAATGAAGCTAAATCTAAAATATATGGATTAAAATAATATTTTAAAGTAAAAATAATAATTTATATAATGAAATCGGTAATAATTTATGATTTATGAGATGAATTATTAACGTATCATGAGTAAATTAATGTTGACTTCATGGATTATTATTGCCAATAATTGACGAATAAATACTCATAGTAAGATTTGTAAAGTGGAAAGAGATAAAAATAAAATAAAATAAAATAATAAACTAGATAGCCGTTGGAAAAAAATAAGTTAAATTAAAAAGTTATTTTGATATTTAAATGTGGAAAGGTCAATCTAATAATAATAAAATCGTCGACAAATCTCCCCATATAAAAGTGCTCAATCTTTGGTCATTTATTTTTTTTTTTCTTTTATTAAGTTGACTTCATTTAAAATTTTAAAATTCTATCAAATTAATTACCGAATAAGATATTTAAATATATATATATATATATATATATATATAAAAGATCTCGATTATTTTGGTGACCAAATATTTAAGGTAAAAAAATTTGTCTAAGATTTAAATTACTTCACAGACAATATTCTAAGCATGCAAACTAAATAACATCCTTGTGTAAAAATAAATACGAGATGTTATATAGTTTCAAAATAAAACCTCTGACTTTTTACGAGACATTTTAAGAATGGTAACTTTCATACTTTACTATAATAATTAGTCATTATGTAAATATAACCTAAAAAGTAAATAAATAAATAAATAAAGTTACATTATTGAAGAACCATAAATCTAGATTCCCGTTTGAAGTAGCTTGAATCCATGATTTCATAAATAAAATTTGATTTTTCTTTAACGTGACAATTTTATCTTATAGTTCTTTTCTTCACATATTTTTCTAAGTTCATGTTTTGATTCATATCACTCGAGAATAGACCCAAGTATAAACTTTAACTAATCACATCTTTAATTATTATATCTCCACCCACCATTCGTTTAGAACCACCAAAAACTATAACGTCATTGTTTCAACATTGTATCGCTCACGATCGATCAACCTAAAATTAGTAACAATCATATCATCATTTCTCATATAAGGAAAAAAAAAAAAAAAAAAAAAAAATCTTATCTCATATATTGCATTGATTGGAATAAAGCCACATTTCTTGATTCAATTAATCAACTTTAAAATAAAGAAAAGGGATAATTATAATTAATTATATTTTGGGTAAATGCATATTTTCAATTTTCAATTTGCTTGTGATTGATTATATTCTCAGACAATGCATCCACCTCCCACTTCCCAACTTGGGACTTTATTTTCACCAATATTCTTAATAATAATAATAATTATTATTCTTATTATATATAATTTCTTCAATTTCAATTTAGAAAAAATATATATATTTACGTGTTATTAAACTATATATTTAAATATATGTCAAAGTCGATCATAGTTTCAATATAATATATTCAAATCTTCACTCGATTTAAAAAAGAAAAATAAATCAAATCATGTTATTCGACATTCGAATTCCATACTTTACTTTATTGTAATGAATAAGCAATATATTAAAATGCATATTCCCACCATTTTAAAGAATTGAATATTTGTAATGTGTCACAAGAATACTTTTTCTTTTTTTTTTCTTATTTAATTGACGTTTTAGATAGTAATGATGTGAAACTTTAATCTCAGTCGAAATCATTGAATCTTCAACTTAAGTACCGTCGAACTAAAAAATAAATTTTATAAAGCAAAAATGTGGAAGTTTTAGCTGTAAACTCTAGACCAATTTAAAATTTGAATCGACAACGACCTCGAAACCTCGAACTCGAAGGGTAAAAATGGGCCGAATTGAACTTGACCTAGCTAAAGACGACATGGCGTTTAAAATCATCACATAATATAATATTGGATAGTTTTCTCAATAATTATAAATTTGAGAAAAAATAAAATTAGGGGAAAAATAAAAATAGAAAGAAAAACAAAGCTTGGATATAATCGTGCCGTGGAAGCAAAGGTTTGCGTGTAAGAAACAAAAATGGGAGTTTTCCATTATTGGGTGAAAGTGAAAATAAAAAAACGCACTGTAAATGGAAATTACCCCAACGTTTTCCTTTCCCGAAAATTACAGATTCCAGTAAAACAGTAATTTATAATTTTATTTAAAATATCTTACTCGGAGTATAATATACTAATCGAGATAGTATTCATTAATTATAAATTCATGATTATTTCATAAATTAACCATGTGGAACTTTCATAGACTGTTTTTGGTTTCCTCTAAAACGTCTCATACTAATTACGATAATGTCCTTACTTATTTATCTAATGAACTTTTTTTCGGACTCCGAGTAAACCTACCTCACTCAAAGACTATTTTTTAGTGTATGTTGTAACGGAGAACATCCACTTTTTTACTTTGTCGTATATTTACTCGAAAAATCACCCGTTTATATAGACAAATAGTATCGAATATTCAAAGTCTTCGAGGTTAAATTTATAATTAATAACTCAATATATATCTCCTTACAATTAATTATAAATTAGAATTATTATCTCGATTTTTTTAAAAACTATAAATATAATATAAATTTGTTAGATATAAAATAAATAAAAAATTACCGATTAAACTTATAATTTAAATGTATTAATTTCTAGAATTATATGACAAGAAGGTTAGAATATAATTAAAAAAAAAAAAAAAAAAAAAAAAAAAAAACTTGGGTAAGTAATATATTATTATTATTATTTTAAAAAAATATAAAAAAGGAAAAAAGAAAAAAGAAAAATAGTAGGAAGAAGTTTGACCTAATTTAGACCCCATTTATTGCACGATCCAAAGGATGAGTGGATGATAATGGGAAGCATTAGCTCGCAATCTTGGTACGTATGATACACGCAGTGGGGGTGTGGGGTTGCAATGGGTGGGGCGTGAAGTTATTCCAGAAGAGCGTGGAGTTGCCAGATCCTGTCGGCGCGTCGCCTTAACTTTCATCTCTCCCATTTAGAGATAAGCCTTTGTGTGGGGTCCTCCATCGTTGAATGATAAGCCTTTTTTCTTTTTTATTTTATTAAATTTTGAGAATTTAAAATATTTTTTTATTTTGTTTTTATTTAATTCTATTCTTGAATTTAAATTAATTTCTATTTATTCCCAATGTTTCAAGAATTTGTGTTTAACTTTTTATTGATAATTTTAATTATGATTAAAAAAATTAATTTACCTTGAATTTTTATCATTATTAAATTCAATTAAAACCGTAATGAAAATCCAAAGGTAAAAATGTAATATTTTAAAATTTAAGGATGAAAAACTAAACTTAAAACTCAAAGGTAAGAATGTAACATTTGGAATGTATACTCAATCTGGTACCCGAGAACCCAACTCGACCAATACTCAATAGAACAGACGAAAAATTTTCATCAGTGATAGCATTAGCTTTCTAGTCTCCATTTCGTTTCCTTCTTTGTTTTCCATCACCTTTCGGCTTTTGTTTCGTGGAGTGAGTAGTAGAGAATTTGAGAGCATTGCCTCTAGTTTGAGAGATTAGAGCAGAGGGTTCAACTACGAGTTACCTTCTGTCTAATCTTGACTCAATCTCACTATTGGAGTCCGTATTCAATTTTCAGGTTCTTGCCCCAGTTTAGCTTCAGCTCTTGGTTTCACGTTTATTGTCTCCTAGTTGCTCAGCTTTAACCTCAAGTACTTCAGCATCAGAGTTCTTCTCAACCCGAAAATAGAGGGTTGAGTTGTGAATCAATCTTGCTCCCAAAGTCGGTATTTAGTTCTCGGATTCTCGTCTCGGTTCAGCTTCAACTCTCAAGTTTACGTTTATCATCTCCTAATTGCTCAGCTTCAACCTCAAGTGCTTTAACATCAAAAATTTTCTTCCTTACAACTCGAACTCAACCCAACCCAAAAATAGAGGGTTGAGTTGTGAATCAATCCGGTTAGATACAAAAAATTCTATAGACCCAACCCATGTATACTTCTATATAGAACATTTTGAAATTGAGAGACCAATTTAAAACTAAACTGAAAAACATACACTAAAATAAATCTCGATGAATATATATTTTTCTTTATTACTAACCCTTTGGAAAATATTTTCTTAAAGTTTATTTTTATGGGTCTCTGCTCCAAAATTCTTTTGCATCTTTGTGATTTGTCACTATCCTTACTCCTTGCTTCTAAGAATGAGACCAACACGAGTCATTTCATTATTCTTATTCAGATATAGTATTGGTTTATTAATGTATTTTTCATATACTCGGGTGTTAACAACAAAAAAAAAAAAAAAAAAAAAAAAAAAAAAAAAATTAAACTTATAAATACGACATTGAAACTAAACAAGAAACTCGACCCTAAGGGAAATTGGAAATTTAAGATGAAAGTAAGGGGCAAAAAAGGAAAGAAAAAACACAAAATCTCTCAACTTCCATTGATGTATTTATTAAATTTTCACACACATTCTCTCTTTCTCTATCTTTCAAGTTCATTCATCTAAGCTTTTTACGTCCCATCACCCAAACGCTCTCCTCTCTCCCTCCCCTTCCCATCTCCTAAATTCCACAACACAAATTAAAAATTAAAAATTAAAAATTAAAAATTAAAAATTAAAAAGCCCTTTTTTATTTCCAAAAAAAACAGACAATCCCACCACCACATCAACGCTCTCAACCTTTCCCGTGAATCCATTTTTTTTGTTTTGTTTTTCAATCTCTTCCCTTAAAAAATTTCATGACTTTGCCCAAACCCCAACAACCCAATTAAGAGAAGGGATTGTCGAAATTTCATGATTTTTTCCATCTCCTCCCTTAATGGATTCCGTGACTGAATCCGGCGGTGGTGGGTCGTCGGAGCCCACGGGGGAGGGCTCGTCAGCTGGTGGCTCTGCTCCGTTGGCGGCAGCTCCACCGAGTCGGTATGAATCTCAGAAGAGAAGGGATTGGAACACGTTTTTGCAGTACTTGAAGAACCACAAGCCGCCACTGTCTTTAGCGCGTTGCAGTGGCGCTCACGTGATCGAATTCTTGAAGTACTTAGACCAGTTCGGGAAGACTAAGGTCCATGGATCGGGCTGCCCGTATTTCGGTCACCCCAACCCCCCTGCTCCTTGCCCCTGCCCGCTCAAGCAAGCTTGGGGCAGCCTCGACGCCTTGATCGGCCGCCTTAGAGCCGCCTACGAGGAGAACGGCGGCCGCCCCGAATCCAACCCATTTGCCGCACGTGCCGTCAGGATTTATCTCCGTGAGGTCCGCGAAGCTCAGGCCAAAGCCAGAGGGATTCCCTACGAGAAAAAGAAGCGGAAAAGAGCCGCCACCAATGTGTCGGTGCCTCCACCAACTGATGTTAGCTTGGCGGGGAGTAGTAGCTCCGCCACCGTCGGTGGCGATATTCAACCGGAAACAACCGCTTCTGGTGATCAAACCGGTGACGCTCCGCCGTCCACAACCGCCGCTTCCACCACCGTATAGTCGCTTCTACTGGTTTTTCCTTCAATTACTTTCCTTTTCTTTTTTTTTTCCTTTTTTTATAAATGTTTTGCGTCAAATATTAGCATCATCTCATCATCATCATCATCTCTCCTAATTGTGATTATGAGCTTTATTTAATCATATAATATTCAACCATTCTCATTAATCCCAAATATAATCCTATGAAAAATTAATAACAAACCCCATTAAATTCGAACATATTTTTCTATTTTTTTTATATTATATAGTTTTATATATACAAGACATTAATATTAAAATTGACAAACCAAAAAATAAACAAAAATTGTGGAAGTGGGTTAAATTTTTATGTCGTGAATTAATTTTTTTTACTTTTTTTTTTTGGAAGAATTGGTATAGAAAAACACAGAAATTGGATGAAATTATATGAAAAAATCCATCTTTTTTCATATAAGTTCAACCAATTATACATCTTTCTCTCTCTGGTCCCTTGAGTTTCTGTATTTATCATTCTCTCCCTTTCTCTTTGCTTATGACACGAAAACACGTGCGTTTCTTATGCATTTTGCCCAGTTTCAGGTGCCCTTTTATTTCCCTTCAATCAACTTTTGACCCCTATATTACCCACATTTTACCAATCTTTCCACATTTTTCCTCTTTGTGACGTTTCATGCCCACGTTTCGAACTGGGATTTGAAATTTCCATTTAGTACTTAATTGTCTCGCCATTTCATTGAAGAGTAGAATTCTCGCAAGGTTACTCATAAGTTTGAATCACTGGAACCCTCGAGTCAGAACTATCATGTTGAGACACGAAATGAAACATAGAAGGAGAAGAGACCTACTAACTTTCTTTGAACTAGATTAGCTAAAATCCAGAGAAAGATTCAGGAAATCCATAACCTGTACCATATATTGTCATCTTTAAGTTTTGCCTTTCGAGTATCTCCTCAAGGTTTTAAAACATGTAAACTAGGGAAAGGTTTTCATACCCTTATAAAGAATGATTCGTTTCTTTCTTCAATCGATGTAGGATCTCGCGTAACCAATTCCAACAAAGGCTATTAAAAAAACTTCTCATTCGAATATGATATTGGTTGATCAACGAGCACCTCCTTTGCTCGGGTTCAAATTGTTGTTCCTCTTTGAATTCTCTTGTTTGATGATACCAAGGAGAGACATGGGGTTTTGTTTAATCATTCAATTATTTAAGGTAACCACCATTCAATAGAGAAAACGACATGTCGCCAAACCGTTGCTTGCTTCCCATTTCTGTATATATATTATTATTCCATTTGGGATTTTGGGAATAATAATGGTGGAAGACCCACCGGCCATAACCTTACGCTCACACCCATCTCCAAATTTCAAAACCATTTGGTATATATACATACACACATACATACATATACATACACACACACAAACATATATATATATATATATATGTGTGTGTGTGTGTGTGTGTTCTTTTTAGCTTTTCTCTGTTACCTATGGAAAACATCTTTTCATCATCGTCCTTGTCTGTCTTCATCTTTATTCATGGATTTCAACATTATTCCCTTCTTTTTGCACTTTTTTTTTTAATTGGCTCAGGTTTTGGTGATCTTAAGAATTTGTTTATCATACAAACCCTAAAATCTCTTTCAATTCAATCAAAGTTTCAATTTTGATCTATACCCATCAAATCGAGTTTTGTTTAAACCCTAATGAATGAGGAAGATTTCTCGTTTTTTGTGTTCTTCGTTCCGAGTTAAAATTTGGGTTATCTTCCAATTAATTTTGTTGGAGCGATATAAACACTTGCATAAGAGTTAGATTGGGAGAAAACCCAATTGAGTTATATTTATTTTTGACAAATATTTTTCGACAATTATACAGAAATAACGCTAAGACTTTGTTTTGTATGTTCGTAACGTATAATATCGCTTAGACATAGAAAGGAAAGGTAATACCCGTTATAACATGAGTATCGCTGTTATGATATCAAGCTTAGAACGGGTCAAAAGGGAAAAACAATGTGACAGGGGTTTGGTGTAAAGGAAGTGAGAAAAGGCAAAGGGTTTTGCCAAAATTGAGATGTTGAAATTTATTGGCCTTACATGTCATGTCACTCTAGAGGACCTTGACTTGGATGATGGGGTTTGTGTACTCTCACTGCTCTTGTCTTCCCACACCCCTTCTTTTAGCTCCAAAGAATCTTTTATTTTATTATATATATATATAAGAAGACAGTAATGAATGGTGAGTACTGAGTCCAACCACGTGAGGCTATACTTGCATTGTCCACCATGCATTTTGAGGCCGCCATCATTTTTTTTATTCACAAGTACTTTTTGCTCCGACGAGATATACGGCGGAGGGTACGACGGTGGGTACGGCGGTGGTAGGTGGTTGGTGGTTGGTGGTTGGTGGTGGTGGTGGTCGTTCATCTTTGATTAATTCTGCCTGGTTGCAGCCATTGGCATGTGTGAAGAGTGTACAGTGTTTTGAGTGTAGAGACATGATCTTTGTCTTTCACTGTTCAAATGTTGTACCTATGTTGTTTTTATGGTATATTCCTTTTCCAAAACATGCATTGTTTTGGGTACGTTTTCTACTCGACGAGCTAGTCGTAAAGGCATTTATATAGCCGGGTAATTTAATCGATTATCCAATTTAAATTATAAATATTAGGTTGAGTTCATATTTTTTTTTTCGATTTTGGTTAAATCAAATTTTAAAAAAGAACTAAAAAGTTTTTATAAAAATTAAGAATATTTGATGTTTGTGATTATGAAATTTTAATTATTAATATAACATGTACTAGGGGTTAGGTTTTGTTTTAAACTCTCGGGTTGCTTGGGGTCACCAACCCACAATCAACCAACAATTTTGAGTTGGTCTAAAAGATTTTTCCAACCCAACCCGTCTATGCCCCTAACTGGTCAACTTGGAACGTGTATGCTTTAATAAAAAACGTTTAAATAGAAAAAGTTCTTAGGTAATATAAGTGCACAACGTCGATCAAGTAGTAAATAGTAATATTTCAAGTGTTGGTGTGAGCTATTGAAAAGTAACGACAGGATTCAAACTTAACGTACGTAGATTTTGAACTTGCATATAAAAATTATTAACCGTTGACCTATTCAATATATTTTCTTCCCTCGTATCTATAGTTTAAAATTTAATTATTTAATAATTTTGAAGATTATTAAAGAATAGTAATTTATTTTAATAAAATGTATAAGAATTAGTGATGTGGATGCTTTTAAATTTTTGCGAGGGATATGAACATCATATAATAATAATAATAATAATAATAATAATAATAATAAACACGAAATAATTGCCCTAATCCACATTGACGTCATCACATTCTACAAAAATTATTTGAATATTTGGACTCCAATAATTATTTCGTCCATAAATTATTTTTTTAAATCTGAACCGTTTATTTTTCTTCAACGGCCTTGATTACTTTCAAATTGAACTAAATCCTTCTAGAGTGACATCAGCCTAACCTCAAAATTATTGCTTAATTTTAATAATAATTTTCAAATCCCTATCTTATCACCCTATTTTTTTTTATTAGTATTAAATTTAAATTAAATTATAAATTTAGATATTTGGGAGTTTGTATATATTCTCTTTGTTGGTTAAAATTTTAAAATTATAAATTTAATTTACTGATTTACTAAATCAAAAATTAAAAAACTATAGTTATATTATACATAAAATTTAATTTTCTAATATATTAACTATTTTTTTAAATTTTTTTTATGTAATATATTAAACCAAAAAAAAAAGTGAAAGTTTATGTTAGAGATTTTTAAAATTTAAAATATTAAATAGACGGTGAATTTAAAATTTTATTAAATTTAAAATTCGTCGGTGGGACCTACTTTAACAACCAAGCAAATCTCTTGAAGATTATATGACATAGAACATGCATGAGATATCGAATTAAAAATCATACTTCAATGAGATAATGCACATAATACTTCACATGATGTAAATTTCTTACCGGTCGTACGCATATTTAGTATGTGTTATTCATGCACTCGATAATTACATTCAACCAAATGGGTATTTTTAAGGTCATCTTATCGGACCGTTCTTAGGTTCAGTACACATGAAATTCAGGTCCATTTATACTATTTTATTCATTAAAAAAATTAAATTTAGTCTATTCATCAAATCAACTTAATTCAACTGCTTTAAACAATATTTAATATTCTTAGTTGTTACAATAGCTAAGCTCTCATTTCCCACTAAAGCCAAGAAATTTTAAAATATAAAAATATTTATTTACATATTTGACTTATTATATAAAACAAATGTAATTTCATTTTCACTATTAATTTCTATTTTTTTAAAAAAATACTATAAATTACATTTTGAAATTGAAAAAAATGGTAATAAAGAGGGAGAAAGGGACCAGTGGTGTATTTCAAAAGACAGTGAAAGTGGTTGAGAGAATAATGAGAACAAAATTGATAGAAAAAAAATATATTTTAATTAACGGGATCATGTGCTCGGGTTGAAAACGAAGTGAGTAACTTAATTTCAAGGTTTAAAATCTATTCCCGTTTCTAATAATTTTATTTCTAAAATTTAAATTTAAACTTAAATAGAAAGGATTAAGTTTCATGTTTTTATGGATCTCGAGTCAATTCGAGGTAGGGCAGATATAGTCATATATGATTTTAAACTCGATTGAGATGAGAGTCTGGAAGGGCTTTGAGAAGAGGTTGAGGAGCGGGGTGCTAGAAGATTCGATATGATCTTTATGCTTTGACCTTGTCGATATATCGATGAAGAGTCTAAACCGACACGTCGAGGAGGAGGGAGATAGGGGCTAAAGGCCAAAAGAAGCCAAAAAGAAAAATGAAGAGAGAAGAGAGAGAAATTAGGTTGGAAAGAGAAATGGGACCAAAGGAAATTTGACAAAGTGTATAAAGAGTCGCCGACAGCAAATCAGGAGCGTAGATTTTCTGACGAACTCTGCGTGGTGCTCTTTCCTCTCTTAGGATTCCATATAACCAAAACCACCCTTCCTTTTCACATTTTTCCCCTTATTTTAACCAAATATCAAATATCAATGCCTTTTCAACTTTTTTTTAAATATAGGTTAAATTTACCTCAGGTAAATCTATACGACCACTAAAACCCGACTAACTTAGATTACCTAACCAAAATCATAAA